TCTCTAGACCTTTCTGGAATTTTTCGGTTTCGACTAGTTTTGGAGGAGTTATACAAAAAAAGCGGTTATCACTGTAATCCACCCGAAATACTGCTTTCGGAATGTAGATTTTTCCGGCCAGGTTTTTCGCATGATATTTATACATGGTTGGAATCAGCATCGAATTCTGAACAAAATGGCCCATTTAGATTTTTCCGAGAACCGCTCTACAGCCTGGTACAAATGGATTCCCAGATTTTCGACAAAAAAACTTTCGCAACGAAGTAGCGCGTTACATGAACAAGCCGTAAGGATAATCAACGACCTATTAATGTATAGTATACTGGCAAGATGTACAGCTTTAACGTCTGCTGGCTTATTAAAACTCAAGTCCAAATAAACGAGCATTGAATTTACTTGGAGAGAATTTGAAATAACTTTCACACCAACAACCACTCATCTACAAAATAAGCTTCTCTATATAAACTACTAGCTGAAGTACCCGGCGTTGCCCGGGAAAATTCAATTTTGCATATTTAACATATTGGGAAACGACGATCTTATGGTTGCGCATAAGTTACCGATCCTGAATGTTCCAAAACACACTCGGATTAAGAAGTTTAATAAAGTATAATACCACTGCAAAGATCATATTCCTATGACTGTCATAGGAATATGATCTTTACAGTGGTATTATACTTTATTAAACTTCTTAATATAACCACTTCTACTCAATCATTTTTAACACTCGGATTACTTTCCCTTTTCAACTTTTTTTCTGTTTTTTGCATTTTAAAGTTTTTTAAATATTTTTATTCTTTTCAACATAACTAACACGTCATCACTATGAGTCAAGGGAAATGTCTATACGTACATTCTTTCTCCTTATAGTACATTTCCAATATGGATCATAACACGGAGATAACACGTACGATATTCATGTCCTGTTATCATCCAAGAATGTGTCAACTGCTGAATTTTCTTGAAATCGTTTCGGTATTTTTCCATACCGTTCATTTTCCTTTTCAACATATTCTTGATTTTTTCCAAATTCATGCCTGTATATAGTTACCACGTTTCAAATAAAGCGTTCTCTGTTATCAGTACTGGCTAACATCTTCTAAATCGCTTTAAACAGTCGCTTTGATGAATGCTTTGAAAAATCGCTTTGAGAACCACTCTGATAAATCCTTTTGGTGAACTCTTTGAATCAGTTCTACGTTAGTTTAGGGTTAAAGAGAAATTCTTTGTAAAATGTTGTTATCGTTTTGAAACATCTTCATTGAAAACTTGATCAAAAGAATATTACTGACCATGAAAATATACTAAAATCCGGTTGATCGGCAAATTGATCAATAAAATTTGTTCATACTTTCATACCTAGAATCTCTTGTGTGCAATGGCGAAGATCTCATGTCTTTATCTCCTTTCGTTCTCCGGTTATTAAGAAAACAATTGTACGCTCAGAGTTTTTGGATAGGACACTTATTGTAGCGTTCGAACAACAGGGCTACTAAGTACCTCGCAGGTAAAAATTTTGAATCGAAACGCAGCCCTTCAGCCGGGGGCGCAAAGAGGTAACAGCAGGGGGAGAGTACTCCAAAAATCGGAGAAAATTCTCCAAAATTTTTGAAAAATCAGAGAAAATTTGCTGTGATTTTTGGAAAACCGAGAGGGAAGCCTCTTCCGCCCCTCCCTCGGCCGCGCCGACCCTGTCGTGACCTTCTCCTGGACGAAAGGGTGTGCCATGCAAAGTTTGGTTGCAGACTGTTACAGGGACCAAATGCATAAAGAACAAACAAACAAACTTTCTTCTTTATATATATATCGATTCACTTTGAGTGTACCATCCATAGGTATAGTATCAACGTCACTTACTTTGTTTTCCTCAATTATAAGGTCTGTAGAGATTGTATTTAATTTTAATGCATCCAACTCCATGGTCTTATATTTGTGGTCGATGTAGATCGAGAATTTGTACTGTTTTGTGTACTTTAGGAATATGTACAAGATGATCCGCTAAAGTGTCATCTTCAGGTATTTTTCTTAAAGAAAAATCAACTATTATAATATTCTGTAGTATATACCGCTTTCTGGAGAAAAGGACTGTGCTTGCAAACTTGAAGATTTCTCTTAAATAATGTATCAAAGAAAATTTTTCCAAAATAGTATGAAAGAAAACTATAAGTTTGTAGGAGTTACTTCGATTGTAATTGATGTCAATAGTTTCAGACTTTTTTCAATCCAGTCCAGCGTATAAGCAAATACCGCATCTCTACCAAGATCATTATTTAGTTCATGATAAAAATCTGGCCATTCGTTGAATGTGATATTATCGCCAATACAAGAATCAGCCCATTTACGAATTAATTCTATGGGTGCTACGCATTTCGTACCATGCTGAATTAATACTGGCAATGGAAACTTACAAGGATGTTTTTCTATATCTATTGCTAATTCACACATAATTGTCACGGTTCTGCCTGGCCAACGATCATGGAGTAATTTATCCTTTTGATACTGTGCAATGACAGCTGGATCGTTTGAATAAGTGCACTGAGTTGCTTGCAAGGCAATCGACCATGGGGAGTTAAATTTCCAAATGCTTGTACGATTCCAATATGTATTTTATTTGGCTTTTTTGGAAAACATATTGAAGGTGTACACGCGACTACAGCTTGATATGGTAGCGATCTAGTGTTTCTTCGTTTTGTGTATACGACTATTGTAGCTGTTCCGAGATGTGACTGATTTGCGAATATCTACATTTACCCGATTATCTAAATATCCAGAATATCCAAATATCTGGAATATCTGCATTTCAAATACACAATGCTTTCCGCCGCTTCACTCACAGTCGCTCAATTTGCATATTTATCTTTAGATATTCACATACACACATATTATCATATTCAGATACTCAGATATTCAGATATTGTGATCTTCGGATCTTCAGGTATTCAGATATTGTGATATTCAGATATAGAGATATTGTATACACGTTTAGGTCTTACACTTTATTGTAGAGCTACTCGCTAGATGAGCTGCCACGAGGGCTTTCGACCTTGCTCAACGGTCTCATCAGGTGAAGGCCGGAGATGCGTCATACCGTTTAGGTCTCGAGTTTGAGTCGCAGTTCGTCGAGAACTGCTCTTATTAGATGGCCAGGTCAGTCGGTTCGCAGAAACAATATACACTTGAGCGATATATTTCTTAAATGACTCGATTGTCCCTTGTGTGTGTGTGTGACGGACGTATACTGCGGATGACAATCCTCTAGCTGTTGAAGCTATTTATTGTAGTGTTAACTGGTTAACTGCATTTATTCAGCTATGTTTTCGGCTATTTTTGCTAATGTGATACCATATGGTCGCAACGTAGATTGTTTTTATTGAACACGTCAGGAAAGAGATTGTCCTGCACTATTGCTTGCCACTTTCTCAAAAGTTTTCCCATCTTTACCAGCACAAAGAAAGCTTAATAATTCTATTGAGTCGTTTACGAACCGTTGTCTGTACACTAAAAGATGGTAACATGGACATAATCGATAAGTAGATGACGACTAATCTTTTTAATTAAATGTCGGCGCAGACCCTCTTTCCTGACCACAATACTTCTATTAAGGCACATCAATTTAAGTTGCAGCTGAGATATACTACAAGACTTGCGCATTTTTGCTTTGAAAATGATATCAAATAAATTAGTTTCAGTTTTATATTTTAAGTGCCTAAAAAATGCGTAACTTCAAACTGTATTTTGCCCTTTTCGTAAAACTGAACTAGCAGCGTAATAATTAACGTATAGCTGCCTGTTATTATTCAATTAGAAGTAGGGCATAGTAAAAAATCACATGTCATCATTCATCTAACTATATACAAATATTTTAGAAACACATGAGTATAAAGGCTTTAATAGTTTACAAGAACTTTGGGAGCCTTCTGAAGATCATGAAGGCTTTGCAAAAGTCTCATTTTGTAGGAAATTCATTTCTCTATCTATTTCATTGAAAAGTGAGGAAAGAACAGTGATAGTCTCCATGTTATGTTTGTCGAAGATGAACAATAAACAGATTCAGCGTTATCACTCATCATTACTCTCTCTGAATAAGTTTAGGTCGTTCCAGATGGTCTTTTAGGTTTCTGTACGGTTTCAAATCTACTCAGCTTGCCGAGTTCGGAGAAAGGAATATGAAAAAAGCTTTGTACCTGACAGCCTAAATTTTAAATTAGTATGAAAAAGCTTGTCAGCGTTGCTCCTTTAGAGCAAAAAATATGAAAACTTCATTAAACTTTGTCCGCAAGTGTGCCTAATGCTCTTGCGGGGCAGAAGCAGCAGCCGACGTTATCGATATTCGATTTTGAATCTGTGTATAACGGTACAATGCTCACGACGAGCTCGACTAAGTGATACATATTTTCGGAGAAGAAAAACGGCAAAATCTTTCGTTTATAGAAGATGTTTGGAAAACCATGTTTTTTTACAGCAAATCTTTTTGGAACTTTCAGACATTGTTATCTAAAACAAACAGCCCAGAATGTCCTCTATCCAATTACGTCAAACTGATTTCTGCCATCTACAACGATTTCTAGATGGCATCAGTCATATCACCGAATCGAAAAATTGTAAAGCTTGTTTGGTCTGGAAAAACGGAAGTTGCGCCTGTCATGTGATATTTCTTTAATATCGTGTTTTCCTTCTCACAAAGTATGTGTCAAACTCTATTTGATTGATGAGAAAAAACGATCAACATCTTTTTGGTGAAGATGAGATAAAATATTTTCTTCCAACCCGCCGGTTAACTTGTCAATGTTGATTGATGATTGATACGACATAAAAATAATGCAAATGACCAGATTACATTGAACTGGCATCAGTTTTAGAGAAAAAATTTATAAACAGTCTATCAGATAGAAAGTTTTTCTTCGCTTTTTACATACATATTAATTATGAATAATTGTGCACCTAGACATAGTTGAACTAAATTTTGGTCATTATTTCTGAATGGCTTTTGAGATCTCGAAAATCAGCCGTTAGACCAAAGACAAGCATTAAAAAGTTTCTAATTTCACCAATATTCATAGGACGTATTATGCTTAAGAGAGAGTTTTATGAGGGAATCGATTGAGCGTATACACGACTATTAATAAAAATAGTTCATGCCACTTCTTACAGAAAATTTCAGTCGATAAAGAAAATAGAAGAGTCTTACAAAATCAAATAGCTGTTCTGGGGTCCTGAAACTAGAGAGTATGCATTTGATCTCTCGAAACGAGCTAGTAGCACTCAGTTTTCCATGTAGAATCCGAAAAAAATAGTCTCAAGAGCACTGGGTCAGTCGTACACATCGATATTTCTATTTTATTCGAGAATAGTCAATTTTTGTCTTTTTACAGGTATTTTTCATTTTTGACATTTTGCACTCAAACTCGCCTTGAGAAGGTAAAGGTGAGCATATTCTGAATCCTCAGGATCAC